AGTTGATGAAAGACAAATACCATATGATCTCACCTATAAATGGATTCTATTCAACAAAATAAACTAACGAACAAAATAAACCACAAGCACGGAAACATGCAGCAGACTGTAAGGGAACAGAGGGGATGGGGAAAGAAGACAATGGTGGAAAGAAGGGGAAGAGACTAGACAAAGAACATGTATGAATGACCCATGGACATGGACAAGAAAGTGGAAATTATCAATGGGAGTAGGCGTTGGGGGTGGGATAGGTGGAGGGGGTAAAGGGGGAAAAATTGAGACAACTGTAATAGAATAAACATGATGTATAAATTTTAAAAAATAATAAAAAAGAATAAAAATTGAAGGGTAGGGAAGACTCCCAAGCTCATTTTACAATTTCAGCATTATCCTAATTCCAAAACCAGATAAGGATACTACAATGGAAGAAAATTATGGGCAAATACCTCTGATGAATAGATGCAAAAATCTTCCACAAAATATTAGAAAACTGAATCCAGTAATACATAAAAATGATCATACACCGTGATCGAGTAGGATTTATTCCGGGTATTCAAGGCTGGTACAATATCCACAAGTCAATTGATGTGATGCACCACATAAACAAAATTAAGGACAAAGATCATATGATGTTATGAATAGATGCAGAAAAAGCATTTTACAAAATCCCACACCCATTTATGAAAAACTCTTAGGAAAGTCAGAACAGAACATGACTCAATGTAATAAAGACCATATATGACAAATCTACAGCTAACATATACTCAGTGGGTAAAAATTAAAATAATTTCTCTTAGAATCAGGCACAGAACAAAGATGTCTACTATCACCACTCCTGTTCAACACAGTACTGGAAGTCCTGGCCAGAGATATCAGGGAAGATGAAGAAATAAATTGGAAAAGAAGAAGTAAAACTATCATTATTTGCAGATGACATGATATTCTATGTAGAGAACCCTAACGACTACACCCAAAACTACAGGAACTGATAGATGAACTCAGTAAAGTAGGACACAAAATAAATGTTTAGAAATTGTTTGCATTTTTATACACCAATAATGAACTATCAGAAATGGAAAGTATGGAAACAACCTATTTACAATTATATCAAAAAATAAAACACCTAGGAATATTTAATCAAGGAGGTGAAAGACTTATATCTGGAAAGTTATAAAACATTGAAGAAATAAATCTAAGAAAATACAATTAAATGGCAGCACATACTGTGCTCATGAATAGAAAGAATTAACATCATTAAAATGTCCACACTAGCCAGAGAAATCTGAAGATTCAATGCAATTCTTATCAAAATACCAATTGCATATTTCACAGAACAAGAACAAATAACCCAAAAATTTATATGGAAACAAAAAAGACACTGAATAGCCACAGCAATATTGAGAATGAAGAACAAAGTTGGAGGCATCATGCTACTTTATATCAAACCATACTGCAAAGCTATAGTAATCAAAACAGTATGGTATCACCATAAAAACAGATACATAGGCCAATGCAACATAATAGAGCCCAATAAATAAACCCACATCTTCATCATCAATTAATATTTGACAAAGGGGCACAAACACACATACTGTCTGTGGTAAAGACAGTATATTTAATAAATTGTGCTGTGAAAATTGGACAGATAGATGCAAAAAAATGAAACTAAACCACCTTCTTACACTCTATACAAGAATAAACTCAAATAGAATTAAAGACTTAAATGTAAGACTAAAGACCATAAAACTTCTAGAAAAAATATAGACAGTAAAATGTCTGACATTTCTTTTAGCAATATTTTTTCTGATATATCTTCTTGGGCAAGGAAAACAACAAAAATAAGCAAGCAGGACTACATCTAATTAAAAAAAGTTTTGGCACAGCAAAGGAAAACATCAACAAAACCAAAAGACAACTCACTAAATGGGAGAATACATTTGCCAATGAGATATCTGATACAGGGTTAATATCCAAAACTTATAAAGAACTCATATAACATGATACCCAAAAGAAAAACAAATCCAATATAAAAATGGTCCAAGAACCTGAATAGATACTTCTACTAAGAGGACATACAGTTGGTTAACAGACATATGAGAGGATGCTAAACATCTCTAATTGTCACAGAATGCAAATTAAAACCACAATGAGCCACTTCACACCTGTCAGAATGGCTATCATCAATAAATCATAAACAAATATTGGCAAGGATGTGGAGACAAGGGAATCCCCATCACTGTTGGTGGGAATGCAGATTGGTGCAGCTACTATGGAAAATAGTACAGAGGTTCCTCAAAAATTTAAAAATGGAACGTCTTTATGACCCAGCAATTCCACTTCTGTGTATATGTCTGAAGAAACCCCAAACACTAATCCAAAAGAGTATGTGCATCCCTGTGTTCATTGCAGTGTTATTTAAAGTAGCCAAGATATGGAAGCAACCCCAGTGTCCATCAGTAGATGAGCATATATAAAAGCAGTGGTATATTTATACAATGGAATGTTACTTGTCCATTAAAAGGATAAAATCTTACATTTGTGTTAGCATGGATGGTCCTAAAGGGTTTTATGCTATGTAAAATAAATCAGTCAATTAAAGACAAATACCATATGATTCCACTTATTTTTGGAATCTAAAGAAAATAAATGGAAAAAAATAGAAACAGACTCACATACAGAGAACAGAGAAAAGAGAACAGATTGAGGGTTCTCAGACAAGAGGTGCTGAGAGACTGAGTGAAAAAGGTAAAGGGATTGAGAAGTGCAGATTGGTAGTTTCAGAATAGTCACAGGGATGCATAGGGAATATAGTCAATAATATTGTAATAACTACATGTATTGTGCCAGCTGGGTCATGGAAATATCAAGGGAATGCTTTCTAAATATGTGATTGTTTAACTGCTGTGCTATACACCTGAAACTAATAAAACGTAATTTTTAATTTAAAAAAGAGAGAAAGAAAGAAAAGAAAAATAATACTACCATAAAAACAAATGTGAATAGATGTTAAAACCTGGTCAGAGACATGGAATGAAATGGAAAATAACAGAGTTAAATATTATTAGATAATTGTTAGATAGGAAAGACAAATGTCTATGATATATATAATTTGTGCTTCTAGAAATAGAACAGAACAAAGATACGTTTTAGGAAATTTTTCCTAAAACAAAGACAACTATAAATCTATTGGCTGAACAGTTAACATGTTGTCTTAGGAAAAATTCATACAGATGGAACAAGATATATCCTTGTCAAGTAACTGAAATTTATAAATAAAACAAACACGCATATTGGCTTCTAGGCCATAAAATGAAGTCCTTTGTTATATGCAAGATACACAGGCTGTTTTGAAATTTCTTCATAACCACATTTAGTGCTAGAGTTGAGTATAACAATCAATATCTACATGTACATCAGAGAAAGAGATTGTGACCTCTGAACTGCAAAACAGCCCATGTGTAATTCAGGTGTACACATAATTGACAGATGATTTTATATATGCAAGATAGTAGGAAATATGATTCCCATGAACCTAAGTTAACTAAGCAATGAATAGAAAAATGAATAAAAGGACTATTTTCAGAAGAGAATTCATTTAAATGTATGACTAATCAGCTATAAGAAATATAGCTGCCTAATAGCATGTAAATGACATAAAACTTGACAATTCTGAAAGGGAGGAAAAACAAACAAAATTTGGGACATGACATGGACTGGTAGAAAGACAAAGTAAAAGATAGGACAAGTATACTAATTTCCTCATATCCTTGTAGTAAGTGAGAGGTCAATAGACCCTGTTAACAACTGATAAATCAAGTATTAGATGGGTAAATATTTTAAGGACACAAGGGTAGCAACTAGTCTAAGTATTATAATAAAACCAACCAAAAAATCTTACGTTAGAGTAGATAGAGGGAGTAGAAACATGCTTATTTCTTCCTAATTTATAGGAAGGAGTCAATAAAGTTTTATCTAAATAAACAGTTAAAGTCTATTTTAAAATTTTGCTCACTCACCAGTATGTATTCTATATTTTCCTCCTGTTTGAAAAAAAAAACAAAACTTCATTATCTCTTCTCTTCTCCATGATTCTACACGGAATGGTTTTGTGACCACATCTGCCAGGTTTTGTTTAGCGTCTTTGAATAGTCTTCATCTAGATCTAGAGTTCTGAACTCTTTGAAATTGGCCAAGGACAAAAATCTTGATTTCACTATATTCATGTTTTATTCCTACCAATTCCAGTTAATTTATTGTTTTTTTCCCTCCTTTCCCATCCATCCACCAATGCAACTAACAGTTGTTCAGTTTTTACTATGAGTAAGATGTTGTGTGAGGATGCTAGCTAATTAAAAAGGTGATGCAGACAAGCCTCTACCCCCAAGAAGTTTGGTTTAGGGAGGAAGCAAATAACCCTGATACAAATATGCTTTTAATATCAAGAGCACCTCCTCCAAGAAAAGCTAAAGCTAAAGCTATCTTGATGATTCTGGATAGGCTCTATGAAGAAAACAGCATTTTCTCTGGGTCTTAAAGAATGAGTAAGTCTTCACCAGGCAGGGAAAAAAGACATTTCAGAGAGAAATAAATAAGCAAAGACACAGAAGGAATGATGATTACTTTGGTTTGACTGTAATGGGAACATACGAGAAGGTGAAGGGCAGAGGTGGCCCTAGATATTGTTCTCTGGGTTGAAAATAGAGTTCACTCTTCTGGATGACTTTGTAAATACAAAGGGTTCCCTTTGATTCTAGCAGTATCACACTTAGGTTTGGTCTTCACCACAAGACATCAACCCTCCATGATACCTATCCTCTTTTCTTAGCCCCCATCAAACATTCCACATTGCCAAGAAGCACTCCAGTTGAGAACTGGATTGATGACCCCAGTGAATAGCACACAGCCCTGGCCAGTTCCCACAGGCTGCAGGCTGCCCACTCCTGGTTCCAATACAGTTCTCTCAGGGAGGGCTTCCCAGCCACACCCTTGCTGTATCTTACCTTCATCTCCAGGGCCTCTGGCACCTTCTTGCCTTCCCAAGCCCAGCTCCGCTTGGTGAAGTAGTTGACAGTGGCAAATTCAATCAGTGCAGAAAATACAAAGGCATAACAGACGGCTATGAACCAATCCATGGCCGTCGCGTATGCCACTTTAGGTAAGGAGTTTCTGGCACTGATACTCAGGGTGGTCATGGTCAGAACAGTGGTGACACCTGGGGACAGAGAAGATAAGAACCAGTTACCATTCAAAGACACTTAGAACATATTCGATAAGAGCACCAACTTTCTACTTAAAAGGAGGATATATACCCCACTCAAATGGTCCCTTTAAAGAAATCAACAGAGACAAGAGGGAAGTGGGGGCAGGGAAAGGGAAGGGAAGGGGAAAGTCAAGGAACATATAGCAAGGACTCATGGACAAAACCAAAGGGGAAGAGCTGAGGGAGGGAAGGAGGGAGGGGGCAAGGGAAAGTGGTGGTGGGGGGAGGCAGAAACAAATGTATTTAAAAAGTAAATAAATTTAAAATAAATAAATAAATAAATAAATAAATAAATAAAAATAAAGTAAAAAACAGAGAATGTCAAGGTGGGATGGTTCCACCTACTAATCACTCCATCCCAATTCTCACTCTAAGAGGGATTTCCAGTACAACATTTCTAAAAGTTGTCCTTTAACCTCTGCTTAAACATTTCCATTAAAGAGTAGGTAATATATTTTATTGTAATAGAGCATTTTAATTAGGAAAAAAACCCTATCTTATAAGCTGAAACCTTTCTTTCTCTAACTCCTAGTCTACTGACTGATCTCAGAGTTCTTTCTCTGGCAACACAGGAAAGAAAAGCCTGTTCCCTCTTCTTCAAGACAGGCCTTCAGAGACTTGGAAAGGGTGGCTATGGTTCCTCATGAATCTGTTTATCTCCAGAATGAAGGTAGCCAATTCCCTTTCTTGTTTCTCTTCCTCCCTTATTCTGGTAGGTCTCTTCTGAACAGCCCAGAACTGAACCCAAGACTGAGGACATGGTCTGAGGTCAGTAGGATATTTACTTCCATTATTATGAACACCATTGTCTTTACAATGCAACTATTGTGGGAAATGGTTCTTTAGTTTCATCACAATCTAGGTCCTGTTGAGGTTCATGGACAACTAAAGCTATTCCACTATTTATTTCTTGTGAGTTTTTGCCAAATGACAGCTTGCTTTAGTTCAATTGATTCTTTTTCTTGATGTTATTATCACCATAAATTTAAGACTTTCCTTTACTCACTTTTAAATTCTATTTATTTTTTTCTATTCTGTTCAAATTGTAGATATAAATTTGAGCTCCATAGTGTTGTGGTTAACAATATTAGCTTTAGAGTCAGACTGAAATAGACAGAAAATCTGTCAATCCCATTTACTAGTAATATAACCTTGAACAGAGTGTTTTACCCCACTCAGCTTCAGTTTTTATCATGTGTAAAATACCAGACTCAGAGATTTTGAGGGGGATCCACTGAGATGATGTTTACAAAGCCCATAGCACAGTATCTGTCACATGGTAATCAATCAATAAATAGTAGCTTCTATAATTAACATCACTCCTAATTTTACTATAATTATAAAAGCTTTTTAAACAAAGTTATAATAATTCTATAATTGTTAGCAATAGTATTCTGGTCTCAAATGCATACATACCTACACTAGAAGTTAGAAGTCTTGAGTTCTGCCAATTACTTGTTTTTTATCTTGGGCAATTTCCTTAATTTCCACATGCCTTCATTTTTCCCTTCTATGAATATTCCTTACAGTCTCTATTCCCCAGAGTGGTGATGAGGCAGTTACTTTGTCAAAAGTCATTCAGACTTACAGAAGGGAGGGTAGTCAGAACCGTTAAATGCCGGCATGCTCAAGAGGATGGGAATGTGAGCCTCATAAACTAGGTCAAATAGGGCATGGAAGGAAGTCCTAGTGGGGTGAGATATATTATATTAAAAAAACAAGCATATAAGGCCTATTTACTCTCAGCTCTACCTAGAAAGCCAGTCATGTGTACTGGGAACTTCTGGGGCCTTCTCTCATATCTTGCTTCCTTGAATACCTTACTGATACATTTGCTATATAAATGAAAATATAGACTGGGAAATACACTACAATTTCAAGAGAGACACTTTAAAGGATTACCTTTGAACAAACTAGACAGAGGGTAATCAAGGCTGATTAGCGAAAACACATATTAAGCCCTTTCAGGAATCAGCCACATAGTTAGTACATATTAACAAGCTATCTGAATCTATAGCCTTATAAGCTCTAAGAATAGACCCAAGATTCAGTAACCCACTGATCACAATGAGCAAGGAGTAATTCATGGCAGAAACAAGTCATCTCATTTATCGTTATCATTATTAGCAGTTGTCCACCCTTGCCACATTCACAGCTCTGAGCCAATGCATGGATGGAAAGAACTACACTGGAACACAAGCATTTCTGTACCATATCTCAGTAGAGACGTTTAGAACTCTAGCCTCTAAGGCTTAATTAGAACTGTCATCTTGTGAAGAGCTCTTAGCTATTCTAAGCTGGTAGCATCCTCAATAAAGCATTTGATATACTTCATGGATGGACAAAAAGTTTGGACATTTTAAAAGAGATCCAGGCCTGCCACTTAGTGCTATTCTTTAAAGACTCTTCTAGAAAGTCTTGTTTTGGGACTGCCCTGCCTCACTTCCTTTGAGCACTTCTAAAAGTGTAGTACAGTTCTTTGATAACAAGTCTGTTACACCAAACTGAGAGTCACTTAAAAGCAGGAACCATGGGTAATGTTCCTATTTACTCAGCCTTGAGCACAATAGAATAGGCCATTAGTGTATGTGTAATGAGTGCAACTGCTCTGCCCAGTCTACAGCCCATGGACTGCACCACATTTGCTCCCATCAAAGTGAATAATGTACTTTTTATAGTAACTATAGTGTTGTTATTATCAATAACAGAGTTCTTATTCTCTTCTTTTCCCCAACATCAACTGTCTATTCCATGTCTTAAAGAGTTAGGTCTTAGTGATACAAAAATTAAAATATTTCAGACTACAGAAATAAGAATAAACACTCATTTCTCCCCAGGAGATAAATAAAAATTAATCAGTTGAGCTCAGATACCACAAGGGCAAGACTTTTTGTTAATTCATTGAGAGTCAGTTTTAATCCTGTTTTATGAAGTACATTACTAAGTATAACCAACTAGCCAATTCCTTCTTTATGGCCCCTTTCTCCCAAACTCTTCCAACTCCCCAACTCTGCTGATCTATGACAAATTCACCTGTCTTCTCAACCTCTTCTCCGAATGCAGATTCTTCTTTCAATCTTAACTGAAACCTGATTGTCCTATTGAGTATACTATTTTGGTTCCAAAAGGTGGTTGATCATTCAGAAGCAATTCCACTGCTGGGATTATACCCTAGGAATCCCAAAACACCAATTCAAAAGAACTTATGCACACCAATGTTCATAGCAGCACAATTTACAATAGCCAAGTGCTAGAAGCAACCTGAGTGCCCATCAATAAATGAGTGGATAAAAAGACTGTGGTACATTTACACAATGGAATACTATGCAGCAGAAAGAAAGAGAGAATTACTACCCTTTGTGACAGCATGGATGGAACTGGAGAGCATTGTGCTAAGCAAAATAAGCCAGGAGTTGAAAGACAAATACCATATGATCTCACCTATAAGTGGACCCTAATCAACAAAACAAACAAGCAAGAAAAATATAACCAGCAATATGGAAAGGAAAAACAAACTGACAGTAATGAGAAGGAAAGAGGGAGAGGGGTAATGGGGAAAAGATGGAGAAAGGTCAAATCAAGGAAGATGTATAAAGGACCCATGGACAAAGAGAAAGTGGGGAAGGATTGAGTGCGGGAGTTGGGGTGGGTGGTGCAGGGGAAAGTGGTCATGGGAAAATGGAAACAAATATATTTGAACAATAAAAAATAAAAATAAGAAAACAGAGCCCAAGTGGTAAGGGTTCATATTTTCCTTGCTATCTATTATCCTTTAGTCCATTACATTATCATATTCATGTGATAAAATGTGCTCCCGTGGAATTTCTACTATCTGGTAATACACTACTCTACTCTTTTTCCCTTTTTATTGAATTTATTGGGGTGACATGGGTTAAAAAAATTATACAGATATCAGGCACACAATTCTATAACATATCATCTCTATACTGTACTGTGTATTCACCATCCCAAGTCAAGTCTCCTTCCATCACCATTTATCTCCCCTATACCCTTTCTCCTAAGTATCATCTATAGAATACTTCCATTACCTCAAAGGTTCTTTTGAGACAATTCCAGCCCATGTTTATCCCCAGGTAACCACCTCACTCTTTTTTAATGCCCTGCTCTGCTTTCTTTCACTACGGATTAGATTTTCCCCTATAGTTTCATATAAATATCATACAGAATGTACTCATTTGTGTCTTACTTCCTCCACTCAGCTTAATATTCTTTAGGTTCTTTCATGATGTTTTATCTATCTTTAGTTCATTCCTGTTAATTTTAGAATAGTATTCCATTGTATGTTTTTCTATACACCTATTAATGGACATCTGGATGGTTTTCAGTGTTCAACTATTTTGAAAAAAGCTTCTGGGAATTATGCAAGTCTTTGTGTTAGCATATGCTTCCATTTCTCTTGGTAAATACCTAGGGATAGAACTTCATAATTACATCATAAGCATACTATGTTTAACTTTATATGAGGCTGTCAATTTTTTTTTACATTTCTATCAGATGTATGAGAGTTTTGGTTAGGATACACCTTTGACTTATGAAAATTAAATATTACTTGGTACTTTCACAAATTTTCTTGACAATGAAAGTCCTTAGAACATTTTATCTCCATATATCCACGTCTCAACTTATATAGATTGCATTATGGTCTAATCTATTATTCTAAATATATTGTATGCCACATTAGTCACTATTATCATTTACACATTTAATAATCATTTAACATTAACCATATATTTATTAATTTAATTCTTTTTAAATGCATTTTAAACCTTCTTCTTTGGATAATTTTCCTTTTGCTTAAAGATGTCCCTTTAGTGAGGGTTTGATGATAATGAATTTTTAGTGTTTGATTTTTTTTTCTCTGAAAATGTCTTTACTGTTTCTGTTGAAGACAGCTGATATTCTACTTACTATGAATTTAAAGGCAATGTTTT